TTTGTTCAATTAGTCTGTCGTCATAAATCGGAAATCGAGATATAGTACAAAGAGAATGATTTGAAATCATATCTCATACGATATCTAGAATGGAGGAATATATGATCCCTTATCTAAGGACACGCGTATCTGATATGATCAGAGTTGACAGCGGCTTTGGAAAGCTACGATTGCAGATCAGGATCTGAAGTCATACGCAGAATAGTTGTTAGACTTATCCAAGTGGGAGACTGTTGGATTAGTGTCTAAGTCCATAACTATTTTGGTATGTACTTGACCCGATGGTGCATGGTCCTTTTGGGTTGCCTTCACCAAAGCAACTTGATTGGAGAAATGAATAAAGAGAGAGAGGATAATATGATTTATTAATATGTTATAAGAATAATATATTAAAGGAGAAATCATATTTGTTTAATTAATATTGGTCAATAATTAATTAAGAATTAGTTTTGTGATCAAATGTAATTAATTAAACTAGAGGGGCTGATTTGTAATTATGTGATAGTTACAAAATAAGGTAAGGATTATCTTATTTATATGGTGGACGAATTTAAGGTTGGAAAGCCTTAGAATTCGAGTATGATAAGGATTCAAGGATTATCTTATTGGTTGCTTAATGGATAATCAACTAGATAAGGATAATGACTGAAACCCTATCTCTACACCTATATAAACACCCCTAGGGTCATGAATTCGTGTATCCCTTCCCAAGAGGTCCTAGATACGAATTCTAACCTCTCACCTCTCTCTTTATACCTTCTCCATTTGCTTATGGTGTTTGTAAGCCATTAGAGGAGTGACACTTGTGACTCTAAGCATTCCAAAGTCAATCCAAGGTGGAGTTGTGATTGTTATTGCTATATAACAATCTAGGTATGATCTTAAACCTAATTACATGTTAATATGATTACTTGCATGCTAGAATTAGGGTTTATAGTCTTGGATTCAAAGCATGTACAATAGAGAAACCTAGATCCGAGCATTAGGGTTTGTATGAGCACATAGGATGTCTTATGACCAAAACCCATCAGTGGTATCAGAGCCTAGCTTGGTTTCAATTGTATTGATGCTTGTATATCTGAAAAATTAGATAGAAAAATACTATAAAATTTCATTTCACCTTGTAACATGTTGAGCAAGGTGTATATCTTTATGTGAATATATGTTTTTGCAAATAGATGACATTTTATCTTTGTATATAGTCATACATCAGAAAACAAATGGATTTTTACCTACAAAAGTGTGGTAATTAATTTGTTGTTATAATGCATGTTGCTTCACTTTAGTAAAAAGTACATATACATATCGGTAAACAAAAGGGTTTTTACCTTCACAAATACGGTAGTTAACCACAATAAACAAAGTTATAACTATTACATTTAAACGTTTTGATAAACTATAATAGGTATGGTTTATGTTTCCATTAACACAAATACATTTCGGAAGGTTTTATTCCCACAGAAAAAAGTTTTACACTCACGCACACCACACGTAAACTTGTTACTTAGATTGTGAGACATTCTCTTTCCGTACGTCCGAGTGCGGGATCCAAATTCCTAGTAGTTATAATCAGAGTCTCTTGTAGGGAGAACGTGATAGTTGTGTATAGATCTATATTAGGTTTGACACCTCACACCTTACTGCTAGGTACAGTAGGACCTGCAGGTCTTCGGGTGACAAATGTCATTTCAGTTTCGCGATGCCTGAGAAACGTCGTGGTAGGTTCATTCAGTCATAGTATGGTTATAGCGGCTCACATAGGAAGTTAACAACACATAAAGTTTACGGGGATTTTCATAAATCAAAAAGGGGTTTTATTTCGATTTAAAATCACTTTTCATATCAATAATTACATATATTATTGTATATGTTCAGTCTTGGTATTTAAGACTACACACCATTCATTACGGGATTTCAAATAGGGGTTTTACGTCGATTTAAAATCACTTTGCTCTTTGATGACGTAGTTATAAGGCTTACTTTTGGATTTCAAATAGATGTAGAAAAGCTAAGTTAGGATGGTCTACTTGGCTTCATAATTCCTCTTCTATTATCATGTAATTGTTTGTTCTAGCTTCTTGCTAGTTTAATAAAATTCCACCCTTCAAAAAAAAAAAAGATTCATGTATAGAAAACCAGCAACAAATAAGAATAAATTACACGAATGGTCCTTCAGCTTTATAGTTTTTCTCTGAAATAGTCCTTACAATTTTTTTTCCATGTGATGGTCCCTACAAAGCAAACATTGCACACAAATGGTCCTTACCGTTAATGTACGTTAGATTAATCCGTTAAGTTGAAAGAATTTTGGATAAGAACTATTTCTGCCGTTTTGTGAAACATGTTTAACGACCATTTGAAATATTACAATTTTAGTCTTTTACTTTTTTCTTTTTACATTTTCAACCCTGGTTTTTCACAACTTTGTTATTATATATATATATATATATATATATATATATATATATATATATATATATATATAACTTTTGTTGTCTAGATTTTATCTAAAATATTTAAATTAAAATACATAATTAAATTTTTTGTTTTCTATCTTTTATTTAAAAGTATTTGAAGCGTAAAAACATCATTTTATTACTTTTTTGTTTTTATATTATGTAATTTGTAACATTTATCTTCATTTATCTTATACAAATATATTTATTTTTATGAAAAAAGCATGATGTGTTATTATAAAAAATATGTTTTTTTTTTAAAGGGAACTTCCCTAACGAGGGTTTCCGGGCCAGCTTTCGTTCACCGACTAATCCTCCGCTGCAAACATAAAGCTTTGTCTCATGCCCTGAAGTCACTGCAGAAGAACCTCCATGGCCACAAGGGCTGAGGCCTGAGTGGTGTCAGGATTTGAACATGAGTCAATAGGTTATCCACCATATCTTCCACTTTTGAGTTAAAGATAAAAATATATTTCGGTTTTGATTTCATAATATAAGTACAATAAATTTTATATTGATTCGATATATTTTTTTTGAATGGAGCTTCGATATAAAATTTTGATATTTAATTTTAAAAAATTATTTAGTTTTATCATATTTTGAATATATTCATTAATAAGACATAAACTTTTCAACGCAAAATAATAATTAAACAAAGCGTTTGTTAGCTATACTTAAGTATGCTGCTACAAATGCTAAGATAATTAACCATCTTAACAATATAACATTAATTTCGTTTAATTCATTTTTTTAATAAAAAATAAAAAATATTTTATATCTTTATATAAAATGAACTAAACATAATTAATGTAATATTAAATGGAATTAAATGAAAATAATGTGACATTAATTTCCAAAATAAATTTATTTTCCATTAAATAAATGAAATAAATGGAATTTAATGTTATATCAATCTTATGATTAATTATTTTAGCATTTGTAGCAAGGAAGTTAACTATTGAGTAACAGACGTTTTTTTATTTTTCTTTGAAAAGTTTATGTCTTATTAAGGAATATATTCAAATTTTGGTCAAACAAATAATTTTTAAAATTAAATATCAAAATTTTATATCAAAGCAATATAGAATTTACTATATTTATATTATGAAATCAAAACCGAAACATATTTTTATCTTTAACTCAAAACAATATACTTATATTTTTAAAATAAAATAGCAACATGCTATTATTTCTATAATAACGTACCTTTTATAATAACACATCATGTTTTTTCGTAAAAATAAATATATTTGTATAAGATAAATGAAGATAAATGTTAAAAATTACATCATATAAAAATTAAAAAGCAATAAAATGATGTTTTTACGCTTCAAATATTTTTAGATAAAAAACGAAAGTATTTGATTATGCATTGTGATTTAAATATTTTAGATAAAATCTAGATAACAAAATATATATATATATATATATATATATATATATATATATATATATATATATATATATATATATATATATATATATATATATATATATATATATAACAACATTGTGAAAAAAAAAAGGGCTGAAAATATTAAAAAGAAAAAATTGAGATTAAAATTGTAATATTTTTAATGATCATGCTGTAAACTTGAGGATTAAGTAAGTTTCACAAAATTACATAAATAATCTTTATGTAAAATTCTTTCAACTTAATGGATTAATCTAATTAATGGTAACTGCCATTTGTATGCAAAGTTTGTTCCATTAGGATGCTGTTAAGAAAAAAAAGTTTCGCAAAAACTATTTAAATGAAAAATTATAAAACTAAAAGACCATTTGTTTAATTTACTCGACAATCCTATGATGTGCGTAAGCACTCCTCACTTCAGCCCTATTCAATTTATCTAGCCATTCTCATAACGATTTTTTTTTTTTTAAATACCCAAAATTATCATCGAAATTTGTGTTGTCTATTTATTTAATTCTGTTGTTAACGTATTGCTAATAGTTCTACACTTTTTTGCGGCTTATTAACTTATTTTGTCCGTGTCATGTTAAATGTGAATATAGTTGGCAAATTTCACTCGTTTTTAACTTTTTTTTTTTTTTTTTTTACCGACAAAAGAAAGATATATAAATAAAAGAAAAGAAAACCCCACCTAGCAAGAAGCTAAGGGGAAACATAGTATAATTTTAAGAAAGTAAAACAGAGACCATTACATATTACTAAATGGGTATGAAATCCATTTTGGCCAAATGACATCGTTTTTTTTCATTCCTATGCTTAAACCATAAGAAAGTCGATGATATAATGATATTGTAACGCTCCGTTTATTTAAAAAAAAAAAATTAATAAATATAAGTCTCGGACCAAGTTGTGAAGAATTTTAGAAGTCGGAGATTAAAATTGTCAGTTCCGGATTAGTCTTACAAGTATTTATGGAGGTAAGGACCACGTGGTAAATTATCGAGACTTAAGATGGATAGACTATGAGAAACAAGGGTTAAATGGTAATTTTGGACTTCATTGTAAAGAGTTTTGAAAGGTAGGGTTTAAAATGTAAACAAATTAGGGTGGAGGGGTTGAAGTTGAATAATCTAATCATATATTGAAATAAGATACGGGATATACCCGTATCCCTTCCCCACGCCATTTCCTTCAACCCTAAAACTAGGAGACCCTTTCTTTGCTCCAGCCGCCACTCCCATTTCTCTACCTCCAGTCGCAGCCACCTCCCGTTCCCATCCTCCCTTCGCCACAACAATCCAATCGTTGCTAGGTGCCGCCTCATCGCTGTTGCTGGAAGCGATTGGGAAGCCGGAAAGTCGCTGAGAGAGAGACCGAGATCGTCGCAGTCGCCGCCCTTGGCCGCCAGATCCTTCTATCGCTACTCCTTCGTCACCGAGGAACCGCGACATTGCTGCTGTTGGGTTTTAGTCAGAGGCTAGGCGCATTTGTTGTCATCGTTCGTTGCTGTCGTTCGCAAATCACTACACCCCGCCGGTGCCTGCATAAGCCACCTGCCACCGCGAAATGGTGGCTGGGTTGGTGGTCTCGTGAAGCTGTATGTGTGTTGCAATGTTGTGCACGAGTATTGGGACGGTTTAGAGCTACATAAACGTTTTCTGGCCGGACATCCGAAGAAAACCCCGCCACTCGCTACCGCCACCTGCCGCCTCAAGGTGGTTGCATGTGTCTATTTTATTTTTCGTGTGTTATTTCTGCGATGTAAGGTTGAGTTGTGTGGCTAGAAAACCAAGAAGGCTATCACCACCACCGTGAGGTGGTGGCTGCCACCATTCGCCGCCGCCGGCCACCATGGGGTGGTTGTGCATGTTTAATTAGTGTAGTGTGTGTGTTTATTTGTGGGTTCATTGTAAATTGTAAAGCAATTGGAATAATGAAAGGAAAAATCAAACCACCACCATAGGGTGGTGGCTGCCGCCTCCCGCCGCCACCGGCCGCCGTGTTGGGTGGCGATGTGCCTTGTCTCGATTGTGTTGATTCGTTTGGGGTGCTTGAAACCCTAGTGGGCCTTGTAAGTCCTAATGGGCCCAATTAAGCTTAATGGACCCTAATTGACCCAAATAAAACCCTAATGGGCTTAATGATATTCTAGTGGGCTTAATAGGCCCAATAAAGCCCTAATGGACCTAAAAGCCCAACAAATTGATAAATGGGCTAATATTTGGATTGGAACACCATAATGCCAATAAAACCCTAATTTGTGGAAATTGCTTGGGACGCACACGAGAATTAATTATTAAATCTTAACCAATAATTAATAATCATTGGCAAACTAGCGTAGGGAATAATGGACTTAACGGATTAAGTCCTTAATGGGTTAAGAAAGAAACACTGAACCTTAATCATCATTTCATGTGAAAACTCTAAGTTGGAATTATGCGCTTGGACTTATCGAGACCCACATTTGGGCCATTGGAATGGAATTGTGTGATTAAGCCCAATCACACCATATGACTTATTTAAAAGAATGAGGGACTTAATGGATTAAGTCCTTAGAGGAATAATTCCTTAATGGGTTAAGTAGGAAACTTAACCCTAATCGGCATTTTATGTGAAACCCTAACTTCACTTGGGTTTATTGTTGGGCCTTAATAATTGGATTATTAATGGGCCTAGGGTAAGTCCCACGTAAGGGGGTGGGCCCAATTTGGAAAATTGGGCCATAGATGGACCATAGTTGGGCCTTAATGGTTGTATGATGTTGGGCCTTAGAATAAGACCATGTATAGGCCTGGCCCCAATTTGGAAAATTGGGCCATATGTTGGGCTTTAATCCCTAGTTGACTTTGGGCCTATGGATTGGGCCTTGGGCTTGGGTAAGCCAAGCTAGGGGTAATGTAGTAATTATCCAAAGCATGTATTTTTTTAGTTGTGTGTTAGAACCCAATTATTAATTGGGTGTTATTTGGTGTTGACAGTTCGGGAATCTATCAGCCAGCAGCTGGGGTGGAGTCTGCGGGACTTCAGCAGTGTGGGATTGTGTCAACGGGACTTCAGCAGTGTGGGATTGTGTCAACGGGACTTCAGCAGTGTGAGGTGAGTTTCCTTCCAGTAGGGACGGGTCTAAGGCCACAATGCCGGCCCGTCCAGTTAGCAGTAGTTTCCGGACTTCGGTCCGATATAGTAGCTAGTATGTTTGATGCCTTCGTGGCTCAGACAGGATTTATGCGCTATGTTTTATGTGTTATGTGTTATGTGTTCCGGGCTACGGCCCGATGTAGCATGCAGTATATGTGTTCATGCTAGTTGATATGCTATGCTATGTTCGGTCAGTTAGTTCCGGACTTCGGTCCGATGCAGGGGACAAGGTCCCAGTTAGTTCCGGACTTCGGTCCGATGCAGTTAGTTCTGGACCTCGGTCCGATGCAGTTAGTTCCGGACCTCGGTCCGATGCAGTTAGTTCCGGACTTTGGTCCGATGCAGGGGACAAGGTCCCAGTCAGTTCCAGACTTCGGTCCGATGCAGTTTCCGGGCTTCGTCCCGATGCAGTGGGCAAGGCCCAATATGTGTTTATATGTTATTGTATGGTATGTGGTAGTTTGGGGGAGCTCACTAAGCTTCGTGCTTACAGTTTCAGTTTTGGTTTCAGGTACTCAATTTTCAAAAGAGGAGCTCGGGAAGATTGCAGTGCACACACCATTTGTTCAGCCTGGGATGTTTTTACTCTGATATATTTGACAGTTGTTATAATATTTTGAGATACATTGATTATGATTTCTATATGAGGTTTATTGACTATGGTTTTATCATTAAATTAAACGAAATTTTCAGACTGTGTTTTTGGGATGTTACAGATATCGACAACTTTCGTGGAACACACCTTTTTGTTGTTGAATACTTTTTCATTCCTTGCCTTCCATATAGACCATAAAGTCCCATAACAGATGGCTATTAGTATTCTCTTATTTTTTGGGCAATTTCCCCAGTTTGAAGCATAATCTAGAACCTCGTTTACCGACTGAAAGTCTACCAATGCTATTTGACTCCAGTGAAATATCCCTTTCAGAACAGTTTTTGCGAATGGGCATTGCACCAATACATGGATGTTTGTTTCATCATTATGTCCACATTGGCAGCAAGATGTAGAGGAAAGACTCCACTCAGCCCTTGTGGCCATGGAGGTTCGCCTGCAGTGACTCCAGGGCATGAAGCAAAGCTTTATGTTTGCAGCGGGGGATTAGTCGGTGCGCGAAAGCTGGCCCGGAAACCCTCGTTAGGGAAGTTCCCTTTCCAAAAAAAAAAGATGTAGAGGAAAGACTGATACCTCGACTGGATAGAGTCGAGGTAGTGGGGATTCGTCTTAACTTTTCCCTCCACACAAAGCATGTCACTTTGATTGGTACTTCTTTAATCCACCAAAATTTTCTTGTATCTACACTATTGTTCACTTCAAGCAACTGTCTAAGTGCACGCACCTGGTAATTCCCATCATTCGTAAGGCTGCAGGTCCAAGGGTATCCGTTTGACACCTCATGTTTTTTTTATGATGTTGGTGGGAGGGATGCCCATCTTGACTAGTTCCTTTTCGATACTTGCAATATTATTCCAAGCTCTTGCAATTGATTTCATGGAGTAATGATTATCAAGTTTGTTAGCAAGGTTATGTATGCTTGAGATGACTTTGGCCCACAGTAAACCGGACTCATTTCGAAGCCGCCACCACCATTTAACAATTAAGGATGTATTGAGAGATTTTATAGATCCCACACCCAATCCTACAACATCTTTGATAGCTATCACTTTCTCCCATGAGACCCAGTGAATCTTCTTATTGCCCTCGGATCCACCCCATAAAAACCTCCTTCTAAGTTTTTCAAGTTTCTTTAGTACCCCAGCAGGTGCGACAAAGAGAGACAGGGAGTAATTTGGAAGGTTTCCAGGGACAGATTTAATTAGTGTCAATCGCCCACCAAATGAAAGCGTCTTCGCCTTCCATGACGAAATTTTTTTGTGAAACTTATCAACAATTGGATTCCAATGATTTACGAGTCTCATGTTAGCGCCCACGGGGACTCTAAGATACGTGAATGGCAATACCGATGGTTCACGACCTAAGGGTGTTGCCCAGCGAGACACCTCTTTCGGACAAGCTCCCACTCCGAATACCTTTGACTTGTTGAAGTTGACTTTAAGTCCCGAAGCCACATGAAAACAACGTAGGATTCTTGCGAGGTTTTTTATGTTGTGTTTGGACCATTCGCCTACAAACAATGCGTCATCCGCATATAGGAGATGTGAGATTAGCGGCCGCCTAGGTGGCAGTTGGATGCCTTGGAAGACACCAGCTTGGCAGGTTGCTCTCATTGTGACACTGAGACCTTCCATGGCCGTGATGAAGAGGAAGGGGGAGAGAGGATCTCCCTGACGGACTCCTTTTGAGATTTTAAACTCATCTGTGGGATTTCTGTTGATGAGGATCTATGTATGAGATGAATGAAGGCACCCTTTGATCCACATTCTCCATTTGTCTCCGAAACCCATTTGCGTGAGATTGGCGTCCAAAAAACCCCAGTTAATGGAATCAAAAGCCTTGTTGAAGTCAGCTTTGAAGAGAAGTACTTTCTTTTTGTTCTTTTTTGCCCAGGAGAAAATCTCATTAACAATCAATGGCCCGTCTAGGATATTTCTACCCTCAACATAAGTTGACTGCACTTCATCGATACAGTGCCCCATTACTTTTTTTTTTAATCTTGCAGCCAAGATTTTAGAGATAATTTTATAAATGCACCCAATAAGGCTGATTGGTCTGAAGTCACTTAGCATTTGAGGATCTTTAATCTTTGGGATTAGGGATATGAAGGACGAGTTACAAGACTTACCTAGCCGACCATATCTTTCAAAGTATTTTACCACCGCTGCGATGTCACCAAAAGAACTTCCCAATACTTTTTTTATGAATTTGAAGGAAAACCCGTCGGGCCCCGGAGCCTTCTCATTGCCACATTCCCAAACTGATGCTTTAATTTCTTCAAGTGAAATTGGAGCCTCTAGACTGCTAGACTGCGAAGTTTAGAATCTGGAATTTTTTTAAATAGGGGGTTTATTAGCTTTGGTCTAGAAGGCCAAGTTTCAGTGAACTTTGTTTTAAAATTAATATATATATAAGAAATGAAAGTTAGGAACAGTAAAGTTCCTAACTTTTTGGCAGTTCTGGTCCTTTATTTATGGAGCTGTTTACAATTCCTTATTTTGTTGATTTTTTTTTTAAATTCTATCCATCTTTTTCTATGGGTGGGGTACTCAATGTTTGTTGCGTTAATTTCTTCAAGTGAAATTGGGGCCTCTAGACTATGAAGTTCAGAATCTGGAAGTTTTTTAAATAGGGGGCTTATTAGCTTTGGTCTAGAAGGCCAAGTTTCAGTGAACTTTGTTTTATTATATATATATATATATATATATATATATATATATATATATATATATATATATATATTAAAGAAATGAAAGTTAGGAACAGTAAAGTTCCTAACTTTTTGGCAGTTTTGGTCCTTTATTTATGGAGCTGTTTACAATTCCTTATTTTGTTGATTTTTTTAATTCTATCCATCTTTTTATATGGGTGGGGTACTCAATGTTTGTTGCGTGTCCTGGATACGTGTGTGTCAATTTGGTACCTGCCAACATACACACGTTTACTTCCCGATCCTTCCACCACCGCTCACTTTTATCTTGCATTCTCAATCAACCTTCTTCCTTTCATATCTGCTACTCCAAGTTCCATCCAAACACAGTTCCCTTCGTATCCTTTAAGCTAATATTTATTAAGCGCTTCCAGTTAGAGATATACGGAAACAATGGTAACCAAAATCTTCGCCCTGCATCTATGCAAGTGACAAACGAGCAACACCAGAGGAGAGCAATACCGAACCCCAAAATTCGAAATCGGAATCCAAAAAGGAAGAGAAGCCCAAAAAAATTTAGCATCTGTTCTTCAGATTTTCCTAAAATTTTCCCACAAATCAGGTATGTAATTATTAAGGATTTGTAATTACATCAAAAACCCATACATGCCTACTATCGGCTGGTATTGACCACAATATACATTGCTCTTTTTTAACCCTCATTTGTGTGTGGGCGTTTCCTTCAAACTCTTCTACATGTCTGTGTTTTATGTACTTTTAGTATATCTTCTTCATTTTTTCATCTTTTACATTGGAAGATAGAGGAGGATATCATAAACATTGGCATCACTGATGGTGGAGCTGAAAAAATTATGAATTGCACACCAACTGTTTGTTAATATGTCTCAGTGAATTTTAGTTAGTTGATTCCAAAATTGGTTCTTTCCTGTTTAACGAATCACTTTCAATTTGGCGAAATCAATTGAAATTCCCACTTTAAGTCCCAAGTTTCAAGATTTTGGCACAATCAATCATCATACTTTCAATTTCTTCCATTCAATTTATTTGTATGTGTTTGTTGTACCCCAAGTAAAGCAATTCATCACCAAAATTGGACTTCTATTATGTACATATTGTTGACTGTTTGGTCATATATGGTTATTTTTTGTTTGGTATGACACCTACAATAAGGCTTTTTTCTAATTTCTTTCGTTTTAACTCATCTATTCCCATAATGTAGTTGAAGTTAAAAAACTTGGAGAAGATATAAATGAGCTTACTAATTGAACAAAAAAATAAGACAGAAGCAAAAATGTACGTCGACGCCCAAAAACCTCTATGGGAAAAAAGAGCGTTATGCGTATAAAACTGCTATATTATGGCAACGTAGCCCTCCGAAACTGAAATGAGCATCATATGAAAAAGACAAGTTGACCCTTTTATCAAAATTATGAGAAACAGTTGTAGTCGGAGCTCGAAGATGAAGACTTCTTACTAAGGATCCCATTTTGAGGTTAATCAAGCAACGATTGCTCAAAGTTTGATTGATAGATCGAATATTTTAGCTTTAGACTAATCTTATATTTGTGATATACTTCAGGTGGAAATCAATCAGGTTCCTCTACCATACATTTTTGTAACACTAGAGCAATGTAGTCCATGGATTTTGTTGGAGCTATCTCCATGTTAGAAGTCAATTTCGGTGGATTCCATGTCCGATTATTAAACTTCACTTCTGTCATGCAGATTGTGAACCTCGACTGTTCATCGAACCTGAAAAAGAACTACAGGTTGGTACTTAGTATTTGAATTTTATGACATAAATTTGAATCACATTATATTTTTTGAAATAAGACAAAAAGAAATTAGGATGCTATAACAAAACAATAAATGAAACTATGCTACTATTTTTTACTACTAATTTATATTATTTCATAATTTTCATTTTTTTCTCGCATCGTGTTATTATTTTTTTTAACATTTTATGGATTTAACAGGTAAAACCGAACACATTGGTTGATGTGAAAGGTTGTACTCTAATTTATTAAGATGGAAA